AAGTAAGTTTGAAATCACAACACAAAGAAGTAAAAACGCATGGAACCATGGAAATCGAAAGCAGTTGCAAGATTCTATATGTTCTTATGATTAAAATTTACGTTGTGAATTCTACAAAAAGCGAAAAATTCTATAAATGAGTTTCTAAACCAAACATGAATAGGCAAAACGAATCGAATCATCGGAATCGAAAACAAAAACATGAAAATTCAATTCAAAGCTTCAGAAAATCACCTGCGATCGGATTGGTGTTAGGGTTACAGTTCAGGGATTCCTGTCATACAGCAGAAACAGGAAATGAATAGAACAGGTAAACTGCATTGAATTGCAGAAATTGAAAACAACAAATTCAGCGAGCAAGAAAGCTTTACCTGCCTGAAACCAAAGCTGATCGACTCAAAACTTGGAAAAATCAGCTACCATGGAAAGAATTGAAGTACGAATTTAGCCAAAATGTTAGGATTACTGTTTGGTTTCAGCCCTTTAGTTCCTTCCGCCAATGAGTGCCACATCATCATTTATTGCCACGTCAAATCCTACGTGGCACATTAACGTAGCCACCTTAACTATCGTTTAACTTATTCGGTTAATATTAACCATAGGTAACTATCGCGCCAGGACAACTTAAGAAGTTAGGTGATGATTTTGTTAATAGTTATGAGTTGAGTGACCAAAACATTGGTTTTGATAAAATTGGTTGACTAACGCATGATATTCACCCATTAATGAACTATGAACGTTTCTGGAAAAATCTAGTTTATATAATGGAATAAGAAAGTGTTTAATCTAAAAAAATATATACAATGGAATAAGAAAGTGTTTAATCTAAAACGAGGGAAAAAATAAAAATAGAAAAAAATCAATTCTAATGAGTGTTTCTGTTTTTTAAAAAAAAAAATTCAACATGAAATTTTAATAAGTTGAGTCATGATTTTATATCATATCTATATTAATTAAGAAAAAAAAATCTTAAATTTTGGTGAAAATAACAATTTGATCCAAATATTTTTAAAACATTTATAATTCTATAATAATTAAAATCTTACCTTTTAAAATCGAATAACTAAGTAATACTAATAATTTGGTTGATAAAAATATCATCGTCCAAAGATGAAATTCACATTCATCTGCTTTTTATATTTTGGAAAAAAAAAATTTAATAAATAATCTAATAACTTTTGTATTTTTTTTTTGTTCATCTTTTATCTTTAAATGTTTTCAAATTCACCTACTACTTTTCACTTTATTTCAATTTAGTTTAGTTTGTTAACTTTTTATTAATAATTTCACTCCATTTGATTAAATTGACCTTTAACTATATTTTTTTATGAATTTTTACTTCTTAAAATTAATTTTGTGAGGATAATAAGTTTTTTTTTTTATCATTTGAGGAACTGTAACATTTATCACATGTTATTTTAACTTTTCCTTTGTAATAAAAACTACAAATTTTGATATGTTTTAATAACTAGTATAATCTATTGTAGATTGTTTTATTGATTGGACTAATTTAGTTTGATTTTGATTTAATTTTTTTGTTATTTTTTATTAAAACTAATAGAATTTTTATACAATAGACTATTTTAAAATATTTTATAAAATTTATAATTTATTTAAAAAAACTAACTTTTTAGATTAAAATAAATTTAAATTAATAATTAATAGACCA